CTTCTCTGGCGGCAAGTCGTACCGCTCATGTGTATCCAATATCCACTTGGGTGCTCTCATACCTCCACTGGGCTTTTTATTACATGCTACTCAATAAGTCTTCAAGCCAGGCATAGTGCTACATATGTTAATTACGTTGATGTGCTTGTCACTACTAAATGTGATGCCCTGTCGTCTTACAGAACTCCATACATTAATCTTGCCTGTAATTATTGCATCAAGTAGAAAGTTTTATTTTCACTTAAATATTACACAGATATTATCCCCCAGAGGTCGGCGTTATTGTGTTTTTATGTGGGTATTTATCTTGCTAATTGTTTTGGTTCACTGTAGATATGTTAAAATCAATCAATCAACGTTTATTTATAGAGCGCCTTTCCTACACAAGGCAACGCAAAGCGCCTCACAACCCATATAACATCATGCATAAATCAAAATGGCTATTACAAGTAGCACCCCTTTTGGCCATCATCCGAATTCCGGTGCCCTCAGACCTCCGTACACAGGGGCAAATCCAAGCCGGGTCAGAGAGATCAAGCCTGACAAACAATGTCATTCAATCTCAATTCTAAAGTCTTATGTCCATCAAGTGAACGAGCTGCGAGGTCTTTGATCAACTGTTCCACCAAAACCACCCTTCTTTGTCCAGACACGGCACTCTCAACCACGACACGGCTAAGCTCCTTGTACATCCCATCAATTTTATCGGCCAGCAGGTCGTGAATCTTGCGAACTGCCATGCCTCCGAATTTGTGGTAGAAGAGGATCGCTCCAAACCCAAACAGGAGGATTCCCACCACCAAAAAGCCAAAGATATATACGTCTTCCGAATCTTCAATGGACAGGGTCGACAGACAGAGGGGCTGCCACTTGTTCCAGCTGTCAAGCGTATACCCCGCTGGTGAAGTCCCGTCCGGACACACGGGCTCTCCAGACCCACGCTTACGTGTTGAAAAGATAGAATCAATTGCGTTGAGGGACCAATTAATCATTTCCATTCTGTTAAAGTTGTCTGTGGCAAAGCTCCAGGAAAAAAGACAAAAACAGGAGATAGCAAGCCGTTCAGAAGCAGGAGCGGACTAAGACACGTCTTTGCTCGACGGAGGAGGAAGGAGGAGAGAATAGCCAATATTACATATCAGCAATAGCCAATATTACATTCACGCACATTCATTCACGCACATTCATTTGGGAATAGAGAAGAGATAGAAAGAGCCGCATAGTGGAGGATTTTTTATGAAAGATGCTAGTTAATATTCGGCTGGACTACAGTGTACTATTTACATTTTAGTGTTTATTCATTTAATTGTTGTTTATTTGGTTGGGACAGTACATGTTAATGAACACATCACTCCGGATTGTAGCCACGGGCTAATTTGCATCCGTTGTCCCACATTCGCACTCACAAACACACACTAATTCACCCTGAACTATTGAACATATTTTTAGTGGTAGGGGAAACCAGAGTAACCGGAGGAAACCTATGCAGACACGGGGAGAACATGCAAACTCCACTCAGAAAGGCCCTGTTCCGACCCGGATTCGAACCCAGAACCTTCTTGCTGAGAGGCGAGAAGGTTCCACTCAGCTCGTTTACATTGCTAAATATTCTATAGGTTTGCTTCCATATTCTAGAATTATATTTAAGTTGTAAGGCAATCTCTGGTGATTACTGGATGTCACCACTTCTATAGACATATTTGTGTACCGACAAAGAAAATGTTGATCTTAGTGACAGTTTTTGTGAATTGTTCTGAGAATGATATAGAAATTCGTCATAAACTGAATTTTGACAATCACCATAGTTAAAGATTTTAAATAGAGATGCACCGATACCCGTACAAGTACTTTGATTTGTATACTTGTGATACCGAATACCGCAGACACTGTCTGCTGCCGTGACGCTAATGTAAATTGAAAATGTGGGTACCGGTTGTCCACATCTGGTCCTATGGTTATGAGTATGAGTATGAGTATGGGTAGAAGCCTATGGTATCAATCCGATACCCACATACTACCAGTATGTGTATTGGTGCTTCCCTAATTTTAAACTATGTATATGCATATCTGAATATTGTGTGGAGTTTAGGAATTACTAGAGTGTGGCGTTTGTGAACTGGACAGCGTCATGATCACAGCCGTAAACCTGGAATTCCTAACTTTTTTGTTTCATAAATACATTTTGTTTTTCCCAACAGAAAAAGCCTTGCAAAATTAATATTTTGTAAACAAATCAGAAGCATGTGCGGTTGTTAGGCTGTTGTTATCTGTTTGTAGATATCTGAGAGCTGGTTAGCTAAGTAAGGGTGTCCTCTATTTTTTACTTTTCTGTCTGAAAAGCTAATCTAAAGACTTGACACAGGCCAAAAATACATATCTACATGTATGTAAAAAATAGTGATAGAACCAAACTGTCACTAACCAAACTGAGAACGAGAAACTAGTTATTACAATTTTGTGGCTCACAAAGTGAAATGAACAATGGTAATTGTTCAAAAATAGTACTGGTAGACCAGTACTATTTTTTCACAATAACCGTCAGCTAAAATGTTTATACAGTGACACCCTGAACATGCATGATATTTTGATATCTTTCTTTTGAGAGACGATCGGCATTGACATGTGATTGATGCATTTGCAAAGGTCCAAACATTGGGACACACTACCTCCAATAATCTGGGGTTTGCTCCTACTTTTCTGCTTGATGTTCCTTTCAAAGTATATTTTTTTGTACATTTGCCAATTTACTGTTCAATGGATGAGGAAAGTTGGGCATTTTGGTATCAAACCTCAAAGCCTTTTTTTTTTAGCTCATTTAAAAATATTTCCATATGAAATAGCACATCATGGAGTCAACTCAGCCGACAGCATGGCACATTTTGACATATTCCAAAAAACTGACACATTTGCTTGGGACTCAGAAACCGTTTCAACATCTTTCTTCCTGTCCTTTTTCCCTTCACTGCGACTCTCCTGAGGATGAAGACTACCATCGCGCCATTGTACTGCGTTGCTTTTATTGCGCCGCGTTTAATGTTGCTAAGAATTCGTTTTCTACTCGAACCTGTCCTCATTCACCCAAGGACACACACACATGCTCCCCCTCGTGTATAAAACATCCGCCTTGTTTCCATATGACTGGTGACATGACCTTAAGTGTAATAGGAATCGTGTCTCTCCATTTTGACTGATGTTGGACAGATCTAACCCGTGCCTACATGAAAAACCCTCAACCCCTGGAGAAGTTATTAAAATTGTGTGGAAAAGCCCATAGATGCAAAGATACTTACAGTATGTTTCATCATTGGTTTGTTCTAATAGTGCTGCTTCCTTCCATGCCGCCATATCTCAGTCATCACAGTCAATGCAAATGTTTACAAGGCTTCATGGACCCCTGGATCAATCCATCTACATTTGATGAAGAGTCACCTCTAGCCAACCTAGTTTTTATACGAATAGCTTTGCTTCACCAATTATTTTTTCATGAAACTGCTTCAGTCTTGTTTACAGCACAGGAGTGATCAGTTGTTAAGCGTTAGTTGCTTTTCTACCGTCCTTCTGGAGTCTGTAGGCTGCTTTTGATTTTGCGGCGAATCAAGAAAAATAGATGAGATCATTTTGCCGTGTGGGAAACAACGAGCATGAACTGACTGAGTTTCTCCTGCACTGAGTTTCCTTTTGTAGGGAAATGATATATCAAATCTCAGGGCATGAGTTTTGAGTTGCACTAAAGGCAAGTGCCAAGGTAGATTTGACAGACTAAGAGATACAGTTCTCACTGAAAGGAATTGGTCAAGCAGTGGGAGGATCAATATTTTGACCTGTGTGTTTTAGATAGGATTTCTGTCATTGGAAAAGGTTGTTCTAACTATTTTCAACAATTAGAATATTTACTCAAGATTAATCGCATTAAGATCGTTGTGAACTACAATAAATCACAGATTTTTACAGTATCTGTTCCCCGTGACATAGTAGTTGTGAGATATTTGTGAATACCAATGGACACCCAGTAATCACAAGTTGACTACTTTTGTTTTCCTCAACGCCTGGGGTACCTTCTGTGCTTTGTACAGTTTGATGCAACAAATATAAGCTCTCCACAATGTTAACAGCCTACATGCTGTAGCCACCCGTTAAGCTTTGGCTGCATTAAGTTTATTCACAGTTGTGGTATCTTTGGCCCTGTTTATACTGAGACGCTGCGCAGACGTTTCCAGGCTATTAACAGAAACGACCTGGCTCCTAATGCAAATTTCTCAGCGTTCACATGAGGTTGAAAAACAATGTAGTTCTAGCGCCCGGCCAGTAGTGGGCAGAGAAACTTTACAACACTCACACGACCCCGAGCCCCGTGCCCAGCCCCCCTCTCTGCAGTATAATCACTTCCTGTGCCAGACCCTCAGAGAGTACCAACATCATTCTGCATTTTAACAGCAGCTGTGAACATGGGAACTGAAGCTAGAGCTTCGCGTGGTCTCGTTTGGACGAACGAAGGAGTAACGCGATGTGCCGCGATGGAAGCCCACGTAGCTAGTTTGTGTGGGCGGCGCCATTGTTGTTGATGTTTGTTCTCCACTACTGCGCATGTCCAAATTTACGTGCGGGGAGCAGCGCGGAGGCGGGGGTGAGAGCAGAGGGGGATTTCACACCTTTTCCCCTCTCGCGGGTGTGAAAGAGCTCCCTGCTGTGCAGCGTATCTGAGTTGTCCCACTCTGCAGGCTGGATCTGAACACTTACGTTTTGACCCCCCTGAAACACAGTCTTCGTATGAACGGTTGGTAGCAACCGACATCCAACTATACCGTTTTACTGCCACATTGTCTCCGTGTAAACTCAGCCTTTGTCTTCCTGTCTGGAGTCGTCCATTGTTTCTTTGACGAGGGGGCGGAGATTTCAAACCAGCTGAGTGCTTGGCCATTAAGTGTTATTTCAGACCACTGGTATTTCAGACACACATTTCAACACAGCGTTCTCATGCTGTGATGATCGCTCAATTCACAATGACAAAACACACAGATCTCTTTTGTTTTGTCATTGAAACCACCTATTATCCTATTAGAAGACAACTTTCCATTCAGAATACTAGTGGCTTCCATTTCACCATCCACCTTCCACCATCCACCTACCTGCCATCCACCTTCCACCATCCACCTACCACCATCCACCTACCACCATCCACCTACCACCATCTACCTACCACCATCCACCTACCACCATCCACCTTCCACCATCCACCTACCACCATCCACCTACCACCATCCACCTACCACCATCTACCTACCACCATCCACCTACCACCATCTACCTACCACCATCCACCTACCACCATCTACCTACCACAATCCACCATCTACCTACCACCATCCACCTACCACCATCCACCTACCACCATCTACCTACCACCATCCACCTACCACCATCTACCTACCACCATCCACCTACCACCATCTACCTACCACCATCCACCTACCACCATCTACCTACCACCATCCACCTACCACCATCTACCTACCACCATCCACCTACCTGCCATCCACCTACCTGCCATCCACCTACCACCATCCACCTTCCACCATCCATCTACCACCATCCACCTACCTGCCATCCACCTACCTGCCATCCACCTACCACCATCCACCTACCTGCCATCCACCTACCACCATCTACCTACCACCATCCACCTACCACCATCCACCTACCTGCCATCCACCTACCTGCCATCCACCTACCACCATCCACCTACCTGCCATCCACCTACCACCATCTACCTACCACCATCCACCTACCTGCCATCTCCTTACCACCATCCACCTACCACCATCTACCTACCACAATCCACCATCTACCTACCACCATCCACCTACCACCATCCACCTACCACCATCTACCTACCACCATCCACCTACCACCATCCACCTACCTGCCATCCACCTACCACCATCCACCTACCACCATCCACCTACCTGCCATCCACCTACCGCCATCCACGTACCACCATCCACCTACCACCATCCACCTACCACCATCCACGTACCACCATCTACCTACCGCCATCCACGTACCACCATCCACCTACCACCATCCACCTACCACCATCTACCTACCACCATCCACCTACCACCATCTACCTACCACAATCCACCATCTACCTACCACCATCCACCTACCACCATCTACCTACCACAATCCACCATCTACCTACCACCATCTACCTACCACCATCTACCTACCACCATCCACCTACTGTACCACCATCCACCTACCTGCCATCCACCTACCTGCCATCCACCTACCACCATCCACCTACCTGCCATCCACCTACCACCATCTACCTACCACCATCCACCTACCACCATCCACCTACCTGCCATCTACCTACCACCATCCACCTACCACCATCTACCTACCACAATCCACCATCTACCTACCACCATCCACCTACCACCATCCACCTACCACCATCCACCTACCACCATCCACCTACCTGCCATCCACCTACCTGCCATCCACCTACCACCATCCACCTACCACCATCCACCTACCACCATCCACGTACCACCATCCACCTACCACCATCCACCTACCACCATCTACCTACCACCATCTACCTACCACCATCCACCTACCACCATCCACCTACCACAATCCACCATCTACCTACCACCATCTACCTACCACCATCTACCTACCACCATCCACCTACCACCATCCACCTACCTGCCATCCACCTACCACCATCCACCTACCACCATCCACCTACCACCATCCACCTACCTGCCATCCACCTACCTGCCATCCACCTACCTGCCATCTACCTACCACCATCCACCTACCACCATCTACCTACCACCATCCACCTACCACCATCCACCTACCACCATCCACCTACCACCATTCACCTACCACCATCTACCTACCACCATCCACCTACCACCATCCACCTACCTGCCATCCCCACCTACCACCATCCACCTACCACCATCCACCTACCACCATCCACCTACCTGCCATCCACCTACCTGCCATCCACCTACCTGCCATCTACCTACCACCATCCACCTACCACCATCTACCTACCACCATCCACCTACCACCATCCACCTACCACCATCCACCTACCACCATTCACCTACCACCATCTACCTACCACCATCCACCTACCACCATCCACCTACCTGCCATCCACCTACCACCATCTACCTACCTGCCATCCACCTACCACCATCCACCTACCACCATCCACCTACCTGCCATCCACCTACCACCATCCACCTACCTGCCATCCACCTACCACCATCCACGTACCACCATCCACCTACCACCATCCACCTACCTGCCATCCACCTACCACCATCCACCTACCTGCCATCCACCTACCGCCATCCACGTACCACCATCCACCTACCACCATCCACCTATCACAAACCACCTACCACCATACACCTGACACCATCTACTCTTTTTTGGCCCAAACGTATGTGCCTGACGTTTCTTTTTTTCCAGTCTTGCTACATCCATAGTGGTGTTGTAGTTTTTATAACTTTACTAGTTGTTGCAACAGCATGTGAAAAAGACTACAAAGTGTGCTTTGACGACGATAAAATGGGTTGGCTTTAATGTTGTTAATAATGCGTTTACTGTAACTGACAGCACTAATTAAAACACAAGAAGTTCCATCCTGATAAAATGTAACTTGTGGCACATTTCTAGAGCTCGTTTTCTATTTCAAACCATATAACAAACCAAAAAGCACTACACCTGATCAAACCTAAACCTAGACCCCAGCGAAGCGTGAACAGATCGTGGCTAAGCCTGCATCAAACATAAACTGGGTAAAAACAGATTTCTGAATGAGATGTTGAACAACATGAAGCTCTAAGGCTTAGAAGCATAAACATAAGGAGACATAATGAACTTTTTACATTTAACATGGAGCTCTATGTGTCATACATAGGATAATACTGGATATGTTGAAAACTAAACAAACACTTCCGAGTCAGTTATGCTGAACACTGTCAACCCAAAAGACCCGAGATGACCACAGTGCATTTGAAAGTTTGCATACGAGAGCGAGCAGATGGCCAATGACATATGGAACGTGTCTCTTCTGCCATGTGTGTACGCAGATGAATACTTAGTCCTGGACCTTTCCTCTTGTTCTTAATGGCACAAAACACAACAACATTCAAAAAAAATCAGCATTGAAAGTGTTGCGTGGATATTAGCAACCTCACAGCTCCAGTGACTGCAAAGTCAGACAGAGGTGATTGATACTATTCCAAAGGTATTATTATTATAATTTTCTTGTTTTTCTTTCTTTTACAATTACTCCTGAATATGAATGCCTGAAATGCGAATAGACTCAGAGAGTACATCTGAAAAGCACAATAAGAGCACATCTTCAGAGGAAGGAGGTCGCATTTGAATGACTCTGTAGAGCTTCATTAGCACTGATAATAAGCTGCCTGATTTGACTGACACTTCAATTTGATTACATTTGTTTGAGTGACATCAAGTAATTGCGGCTTGCGACTGCCGCTCGTATAGGTGCTAATAAATTACAGGTTGCATGCATAAATCCTTCTTATTAAAACCCAACTTTTACACTGTTTTCCAAAAGCGTGTTGTTATTAGAGGATGTTTTTGATGTTTAATTCGGCCACTTAATTTTGTTCTGTTTGAATGAGCATGTAATGCCTTGTTCAATGGTCCTGGTGATACGCTTCCCGCAGTTAACCTTGGACAAATGGACGCTTCGCATTAGTCCACAGAGGGAGGGGATATTTAGCTATAACTCACCAGAAACCAGCTCTTTTTCAGAGCGCAGAGAGGAAATCACTCTTCCATTGTGCTTGGTCAGGGTCTCACAAAAATCCACACAAAAGTAACAAATAAACAGCACCACAGCACTTGGCTCAGCAAAATGGAGTGAGAATAAATGTGGGTTTCTATTGTTGCAGGGAACTATTACTATTATTGCCATTCATTCAGTTTGAAGGATCATTAAGACAAGTTTTAAGGTTCTAAGCTCCAGTTTTAAGGATCATTAAGAATTTTTTTTTTTTTTTTTATGATTTTGCTTATGGAAAAAACTCAATATAAAGAGTAATAAAGGAAACATTTGAGTTCACTAATTCTGACGACTCAACTAATGCAAGTCAAAGTCATTTGGGTAATAACATGTGCCAACAGACAGTTGGCACATGGGGCAACTCAGTTGGTAGAGCATTGGCCTTAAGGCCTGAAGGTCGTGGGTTCATTTCCCACCTCGACACCTTCTCCACCGACTCCCAGTGATGTCTGCTGTCGTTGTGTCCTTGGGCAAGACACTTAACCCTACTTTGCCCGAAGCCCCCACTGAAAGATCTCAGCTCCTGTGGACTCACCCCCTGCAGGAGGATCAGTGAGGGGCTGGTGCTCTGTGGGAGCAGCTCTGACCCAGAAATGGAGTAAGGGAAAGAAAATGGATGGATGGATGTGCCAACAGAGAATTCTAAACACAATTTCTCTATCTACAAAGACGAAAAGCCTAAATTATACTATAATAATGATCCTTATTACTAATACTCGACTTCTAACTTAATCAGGCCCAATGTCAAGTATTCTCCACCTTCCAACCATATGTGCATCTTATCTTCTTGACCAAGCTGAGAAACATCTGGAGATGGGTCCCTGTGTGCTGCATTAGCAAGGATCTTCTATTGTGGAGTTGATAGAAAATGGCAAAATACATAAACTTGAACCTAATTCGTCTGTATTCTTTCTTTCTTTCAGAGATGATTAGGGGTTAGCTGAATCCATTTATTTTCAACCATCGACTCTTTATCTTTTGGTCAGTTGATTGGATCAGTCTTTTGGAATTATTTAAAAACACAGTTGTTCAAACAAACTTTTGTAATATCACTAGTTGCCTAAAGCCATAGAGATGTAGTTTGCAGTTATAAGCACTACTAGATCATTATTATGGATTTAATTGTAAACTTCGGCAAAATGACACAAACTGCTCCTATGACTTTACATTGAAATCTACAACTACGTTTGTTTTGTCAATAAATTGCCTTTTCATGATACAAAAATTATGAAATGTTGCTTTTAATATTCATGATTCATGATATACCATGGAGTATAGTAAATATGCTGAGTGCACTACAATCCGAACAATGGAACAATGTGTGAATGTGTGCCTTTGGTTCACCCTGTTTGAAGACTACCTTATTTTCCAAGTTTTTTTTTTCTTCATATATTTTGTTTCATGCTTTTATTCCATTTAGAAACAAAAAACACTATTACAATGTTGAGGTTTTACCACCTCCACATTAGTGTTAGCAAGCGGAGAACATAAATATGCAACTGAACGGTTTACTGGCTAGTAATGTTTTAAGAAAGTGATATTATTGGATGGTTTTATGATGTAATAGATTGCTGTCGTGTGGAGTTCTGCGATGTAGATAGATGGTGGCAGTATTTTAACCTTGGCTTGTAAAGTGTAAGGTTGTGGTGAGGTCCCTTGAAAGCCTCTTCCCATATGTTGATGAATGACACTTACTTTCAGTGTGAGTGCTGTGAGGTCTTTTTAGATGAAACTATATTTTTCCCCTGACATATCTGATGAAAAGGTCACACTTAAGATAAGTAAGACCCCAAGGGATTATTAACATGTTCCCTGATTTACAAAATCTCATAGGATTTGTTTCACTAATTTGCATTAAATCACTTCAGGAGGAGGACAGGGCAACATCAGTGTTAGTTTTTGGCCATAAGTACTTCATCTGTCCTTTGGTCATTGTCGAATAGACCACTCTATATTTATTTAATAGTCCTCCATCTATCTTGATAGATTTTCCGGACTCCTTTTTAGGTCTGTGATGATGGTCAAACTAAACCATGCTGTAAATATAAATCCTATAATTATGATATTATTTAAAAAGAATCCACCAGACTTATTGATTTTGGGACCCAGCAACATCAGTTTTGGATATTACTGTTTTACTCACACAGGTTTTGTGATCATTTGGCCTTGAAAATTCCCTTTGAAGGAGTAGGGTGGAGAAGATAATGACTTATAACGTTTGAAATAATATAGTACTGTTTTAAAGTCTAATCTATGGGTCATAGGAAGCCAGTGCAGAGACCTAAGAACTGGACTAATGTGAGAGGACATTTTGAATATACTGCGGCTGTCTGCAGACTTTTTTTAGCTCCACCTCAAATAAAGTTATATTCCAAAGTCTAACATCTAAAAAGTTATGGGTGTGTAAAATGTCTTTCATCCTTACTTAACTACTAAGGAATATCTAAACTTTATAAAATTACATAGTGGCAACTTTTTCAAGGATTGTTAATTGGCCTAAGTTTAAATTGTATAAATTCCTGGTGTTGAAGTTTACAAGGCCAAAATACCACCTTGCAGTTCCATTTAGTTGAACACAGTGGCCACACAAACTATAGTGTTGCAAGTCTACCGCGGGTTTGCTCACAGCAAAAGCCTCCCTCTCCGCTGCCACATGTGGATTTTATAGCCTCCACTCCATCTGTTTACAGCAATTTCTCTCTTTGCAAAGGATGGAGGACTGTGGGCAATGTACATTAAGAGAAATATATGCATTTGTTCTGAACATCATGAGTGATATAATGGACTGTTCCATCCATGTATTTGTTATTGTTGATTGTTATGTTGCTTCCATACAAACTTCCAAGGTAGAAAGACTGATTGGGTAATGCAAATTATCCCGTTGTTTTATGCATGACATTTTTTATTCAACTAAAAGTGCAGTAGTAGAGCAAACCAAATGAATTAATACTTGTTCTTTTAAATAACCCTTGTGCTACCCTAAGGTCAAATTGACCCGCCACATTAAGGTGTTTTTCCTTCTACTTTTATTCACAGTGCTGGGTTATTTTGACTCGAGAGTAGCACAAGGGATAAAGACAGACTTACTCATTCACAAATTCATAAAACAAACAAAAAAAGGCCACATTGGTACTCAAACATGTTATCTTTTGCCTGTGAGTCACTAGTTGATGCTTTGGGCTGAGATCTGATTGGCTGACTGAGGACTTTTTTCCTCTTTTTCGTCTGAAAAAGCTGATCTAAAGATATGCCAAACAAGAGGCCAAGAATTTATATATATACTTTTAAGTTAATATTTAATGATTTCTCAACAATTTGGTGGATTACTATTTGAGTCACTATATCTACTTGAAGCATGGAACTATTGCTTATTATTACTGTTATCTGTCTATCTATCTATCTATCTATCTATCTATCTATCTATCTATCCATCTATTTACCTCATTGGGGCATCTCTATCACTTGGTTTTAGGCACTTTCACCATCAAGCCTAATCTAAACCATTTGGTAAAGACCTATAATACAAAAAATAGGCGTTAAAAAACAAAACAATAAACAAATGATTAGTTATTAGTGCTCCTACATCTTAGAAAAAAAAATGAAAATACTTTGCTTTCTTTAAGGTGGAGATAGACACAGCTCCAAGAAAGAAATCCCAGATAATGTGACAAATCTGGATTCAGTGGTGTCCTGACTTCAGGGGGCACACTGCAGCAGCTCTCTGTGACACTAGCTCGTGCTGGTCCTCACTGGCTCCTCTTCAGACTCCTGTCAGTCTCAGGCGGCTCCCCTCACACTCACGCTGCCCGAGCTGCTCTGTGATACTCGGCGCCTTCATCAACTGCACCTTTTGACTGATCAGTGGATTTCATTTCCTGTTGTGTTCACCCTCCCATAGTCGTATTGGGTTTAGGCTGTGAAATGAAAACATAAAGCTGTTGTGACTGCTTTGCTTTGCTCTTCTGAAGTGACTGCTTGTGGAAAATGGAAGGATGTAGACCATTAACTTTTGATTCACGTTGGTGTTTCCCCAATGTCATCAATTATGTAATGGGCACAGCACAGCGAATATTTTCAAATGAATAGTATTATCTCTTCTCTCCACTGATTTGAATTTCATAACCCCTAGTCAATAATATCTCTTGTCAGGGCAAAAGAGAAACACCAGTGAAATGACTTCCTCCTTCTGCACCAGTCACATCTTAATGAACTTGGATGTTATTTTACTCTCCATTTTATTACATAAGACATTCACACTCTTAAGACAAGTATGAACTGGTCTAGGAAGGTTCGTCTTGTCTTCAGTAGATAAAGCAGGGGTCTTTATGCAACAGAAGAGGATGAGAGCTACTCCTTTTTTGTAGTCATAATAGAAAAACCCATGTAATAATTACGACAAAACATAGAGAACACATACCATAATACTGTATATCTCTATATTTATACTTAGATAAGGGATGACTCAAAATGTATTAATTCAAGTTCATTTGTTAAATTCTAAATACTTTGGGGAGCTGTATACCTGAAAGGGGCTGGTAGTCGAGCCACAGGTTGGAGACCCCTAAGATAAAGTATTTTGTCATGACTTTGATAATAAAGATAGATAGATAGATACTTTATTGATCCCCCGTAGGAGAAATTCAGGGTAATCACATAATAACATAATAACCTCCTGTCTTATCTTAAGACGCATTTTTACTCTCTGGCTTTTAACACCGCGTGAGTTGTGTGGTCCTATTTTTATTTTGTTTTATTGTTTTTTTTTATTTATTTATTATTTTAAATCGGATAACTAGTATTTTATTGTTTTTATCACATATTTATAGTTTACTGGTATTTTATTGTTTTTATTAAATTTGTATTGTTTTTACTTTGAGCATATTTAAATGTGTTGATTTTATCTCTGTGCAGCACTTTGGAAACTTGTTTTATAAAATGTGCTATATAAATAAAGTGGATTGGATTGAATTGGAATAACATTGTAATAACGTTATTAATAAAAAGTAATTCCATTTCCATCTTACAATTGTCTGGTAACGAAGAACTACATAACTTGTCATTTTCATTATTCTAGCTGTGTATTAATAGACGGCTTGGTCGAGTCTGAATCAGATGTGAGTGTTCAAACCCAGGCTTAAAATGATAGGAATTTTAAATATACAATGAAATCTCTTTGGTTGTGTAATGTATGTTGTATTGCTGTGTGGTAAACTTTGCCTTTCAGTCATAATATTTTTTTTCTGGGACTTGCAAGAACATAATTGAAATGTGATTGTTTTGCAGGAGAGCATCTCCGAGTATGTCCGCAGGGAAACACATGCTGCACTGTGGAAATGGAGGACAAGTTTGGCCAGCAGGGGAAGCTGGACTTCGAGACTTTAGTGGATGAAATCAGTCACAATTTGAGGAGCACCTTTGTTTCCAGACACAAACGCTTCGATGGTAAGTCTTTTCTTTCCTGAATGTGTCAAGCATACCAACTATCCCTTTTCTTTTGTCAGAATAAAATGCAAATATTAATTTCAAAAGGCGCATTTGCTTGTAGTTTTGCTACATCCTCAAGAGGAGACAAATCTCATTAATATGCCTTGCAGTGAGAGCCCTATTGTTGGATTAGACAGACTTCTTGCACAGTTGATTGACAGTTGGAACAGTACTACACGGGCCGAACCGCGCATTGTTAAGGATATTTGGTGGTCTCATGCTGAGTGCGATCTCGTCTAAGCCTCTTGGTGACCGCGCGTCATCCCAGCTTCTGCTATGGGAACCAGCTCATTACTGAAGCCCCTGCTCTGCCGTCCCCTTTCGCTGTCCTTTCTGCCTCTTGGTTGCTCTTTAATGAGAAATAATAATCCCCCAGCTCCCCACTTTACACTGTGTGGGAAGAAATAGCAGTTAGATCTTCAATTGCCGTGCAGAGCAGAGCTACAGGTAAAACGGTCATCTACCTGTTCACATTGTTGGGTGTTGTTATTTTTCCACTAGCAACTTACAGCATGTTATCACTGAATGAGGATTCTACAGAATATTATTTGTCCTTGGGAGATTTGTGAAAACTTGAAAATAAACTATCGCAATGTTAGACTATAATAGTGAGAGGTTACGTAGAGTTTTTAATGATTACCAAATAAGGATGTGTTTGAAGGTTGGATGCTCAAAAAGGTGTACGCACTCTTGTGTAGTGTTAATATATAAATTGTGTATTAGACATGTGCACAGAGACATACAGAGCAGCTGAATGACGAATGTAAGGACAAAGTGACTGTTTGGGCGGTGCGTTGGTGCAGTGGTTTGCGCTTGTGCTCCATGGCAAGAAGGTCCTGGGATCACCTCCTGTAATACCTTTCTGTGTGGAGTTTGCATGTTCTCCCCGTGTTTGTGTAGGTTTGCCCCACTACGTAAAACATGTACAATAGGTCTGAATGCAATGAGGGAGTAAACAGATGGAGATGGTTGGAGACTTTGATGCAACAGTTTTCGGCGACTCACTCCTGTCGTCATCAAGAGTGAAGTGACAAAAATATCAGCATTCCAAAAACAAAACAAAAAAATGCACTTTGTATGACCTTGGTCTGTCAAATACGCTATATAAATAAGGATTACTTACTTGTTTACTCACTTCTTCATCGTGTTCTCTACGCAAGTTTGCTTCTGAGTTTAAACCAGACGTATCCACACAACACGTCTGGTTGAGTGAGATATTTCAGAAAAGTTGCATTCTCATCCACATCTGAATTCCTGGCAGATAAAGGCTTGTTACTGTATTTGTGCCGTTTAAAAACACCAGTGTCCATGCTTCAGAGCTGTTGACTTTGTGCAAAGACCCCCACGCACCTCACGGCCACAGCCAGAGGTGCAGACGTTTTTCTGTAATTTATAGATATAAGGCCATTGGCTACAGACATATCCCTTCGCTAAAACAATATCTATTGCCGTGATAAAATAACACTGGCCTTTAGAACAAGAGTATGATAGAACATTGTCTAAATATACAGCATGGCTAGACCTGAATAAATATTTGGGTGACTAATAGTGCCATTTAATATGAAGCAGTCAATGGCTTGTCTTCCTAGGCCCATTCTTCTGAAACTATGATATGAAACAAATGCTATTGAGTTACAACATTCAATGCTTAGACGATCGTACTTTGCCCAGAAACGCAATGTCACAAAGGCAGAGATTATGTCTGTCTTGATCTTTTCCAGGAAAGGGGTCTTCTTATGGTCAGATGTGATTCCAGGAAGTGTGCATGAATAAATAAGTGTTATTTTGATCGGTGGCTGTCAGGATGCTGGATGTAGGAGCGGCACCGGGGAGTGGGGGTTTGTCCTGCAGCACTTAGATGCATGACTCCAGGCACCGGGGTTCTCCAGAGATTCACTGCCCTTTTCCATAATTTCATCAGTGTCAGAGCAGATGTCATGAGCAGGTCTGGGCTCTGCAGCCGGAGCTGTCTGGAGACTCACCCCCTCTCAGAGACATACGAGTAAATCACAACAAGTTTACACTTCACAGCAACAACAAGTTTATTCCTGCTGCTGTGTTAAGAAGTGTGGTCAATCTGATTTAAAAGCAGTTGAAAATAGGGCATCATAGAACCTCACCTGGAAATGCAAATAATGACCTGTCAACATAATGGTGCATACATAAAACTTGGACCAACAAGTTTTATTTATGCACCATATTGTTGAACTGTATTAGCAGACCACTTTCCAATCGAGAAAAGTGCCTTAAGAAAATCAGAAGTGTGAGCACTAAAACTGGATGTATTATGGACAAATGCTGCCAATTATTATTTGTATTTATGTTTTGTTGTTTTTTTTCTCCTCTCTTTCTTAAACTTGTTTCAATCCTGTCTTCACTGTTCTCCAAAAGCCTAACCAGGGACAGGGGTGGGTTGCAAATTATTTTTTTGGCTAGAAGTCCAATGTGCTTGACATCGGTTACAATGTTTATTTTGTACTGTCCAAATTAAGTAACAAATAAATAAAACAGAGACGTCTAAAGGAGGACGACACTTATGACAATCATACACATGCTAAGATATCTGCTGCTAGAGAAATGCTAGAGATTTAACAGGTCTGAATGTACAGAGTGAGTGAATGGTTCGGCGTCTCGTTTCTGTCATCACTGTGTGGGGAATGACTGGAAAAATATCTGTACTCCAAGAACATTTGTGTCTGTGAAATGTGCTATATAGAGAAAGATCACTGACTTTATCGCTTACTTTGATTTATTATTCAAACGTAACGTAACTTGTAAACTTGAACGACTGGTGACCGGACACTCTACAACAGGCACTTTGAGTTTCCTTGTGAATGAACTGTGCTTTACAAATAAGATTGCCTTATCTTGTCTTTCTATAGATCTCCCATGCACAATGTCTTTCATCCATCGCACATGGGAGGAAGGCGTCCTTCCTCTTGAATAAATAAAAAAATACCACTTAAAATTTAGGGATATATAAGGTTTAGAGTCAATTACAGTATTTAAGTGCACATTGAGTTAAAAACTGACAAACATTTTCTTGTTTGAATATTATTGTCAGCATATTTAATTTTTTTCTTTGTTTTTTACATATCATCAGCTTTTTCAAGTTCAGGAGTTAATTGTTCAGTCAAAATATGTATTCTCCTAGATTTTTGAAACATACGCAACATCAGTGTTGATGGCCCTGATGACGTTAGTGTGTTTCTCCAAAACATCAAACACCTTAAAACAGTACAGAGTAATGCATGTTCAGGCACTAGGGGACTTGTTGACTGAGGGGTAAAAAGACAAGTTAGTCAACAAGCTGGAGCATCTCGTTAGCGCCCCTAAAAATCAAATAGATTCATTTTAGTGTCTCTTTAGTTGCATGCTCCGAAGTGCCTCCTACACAGTCAGAGTAGTCTCTCCACTGCGGCTGACAGTGGTGGTCCAGCCCACGCTCTGACACCACAGCCTGTGTCACACTGAGAGAGCATCGTCTCGTCTGTGCCAATATCACCAATGGGAAAATAAAAAAATACAGAAATATCGTTTACAGGAAACCTCTGGGCATAACCTTCAGTAAAGTTGGTTTCTGGAAGCAAAAAAAAACAACTAAACAAATGTTAATGTTTGTTTCTTCTTGTTCTAATTGCTAATCAATAGTCAGCCCTTCTCTGACCCAGAACAGCATGGTGCTGGGAAGCAAACAGAATAACAAGTGGGGCACCGTGTCCAATTGATCTGAGACATCTTAGGAACTACTCAGTGTAAACACATATTTGTTTATGACTATAAGATGTATAACGATTTAGCTTTCCCTTTTGGCAAGACAAATGTCATGAGGTGAAACAAAGGAGAACCCAAAATGCACGAATGCAAAAAATAATGATTTAATGATGATGATAAAATAAAAGTCCAAGATATTAACAAACTCAAAAATCCAAATGAAACACAGGAACCAGGAAGATAGACAAACATATACAAAGACAATGGACCAGAACAAATGGGTAAGAGCACAGGGTTCATATAGACACGGAGAGACACAAGTGAAACACATTAGGGCGGGACAGACAATCAACACACGGACTAGTTTCCCAGGAAGTAAAACTAAAACAAAACCACTGGAGAACTACTGTTAAAATAAAACCACAATAGTAAAAGTACCACAATAACATAATCCACATGACAACTAAAATTACAAAAGCATTCCAAAATGTGTGTATTATCATCATGTATGTATTTGTATGCTTCTGAAATCGAAATGGATTTCAAATATTATTGGTCATAAGCTGTGCTAATGTACAGTGGAGAAGGAGCTCAAGAGCGTCTGCCAGCTACTGTCACAACTGTGTCCTTGAGCAAAGCACTTATCTAAGGGGCAGCCAGCCGTTAAAGGCTTTAGAGCACTTTCCAGCTGCCAAATGTGGACGTACAAGTGCATAGATGGAGCCGGGTCGCAGCAGAAAGCTTTCTCAGCAAACTCTAAACTTTGAGGAAAAGGCTTGCGGACTGGACTGTACAGCTATGAATTTTTGGAATATGATAATAGCGCGGATTCACATTTCAAGAATTAGCTTTAAAAAACACTGTGTGCATGTAGTGCGAACAGAGAAAGGGCAAGGGCAGCCTCGTATTGCTATTACTGTTGAATCAGAAATACCAAAATTTGCGTGAAAACAACAAGGATCTTGACTTGTTTACAATAATTTCAGTCAATCAGTAAGAACACTAACCTCACCTTTTTCAGCAAAATCGTCTGGACTCGTACTATTTTGTTTTGCCAACATAATTTAAGGCTCCTGTGTCTGTAATATCTGAGAGAGGTGTATTATCAAATATATTAAGATGTGCTGTGTCTTAACATGTAGGGAACTGCTAATAAGAGCCACACCATATTTCCACGTCCTTCTAAGTAACAGCTGTTCACAGTTCACAGGACGTTACTAATTAATTCTGCCAGCTTCCATTTG